TTTCTTTACACATCTATCTGCTTCATGGTTACTAGCTTTAGCAATAAGAGCAACCCTTATCCTCCAATCCCTTTTTAGTATGTATCGTGCTTCTTGTATTATCGAGGCATATTCATGAAAGCTTATCTCACCTCCCTGAAGAAGGTTAACCGCATCAGAGCAATCAGAAAACAAAGTACCAACCTGAATTCCTTTATCCCATGCAAACTTTAAGCCCATAATACATGCCTATAACTCTACTAGAAGCGCATCTCCTTCATGAAGACTGACAAGAAATCCACCTGTTAAAACATCATTCTCATCCTTGACTAAGCCTCCACATCTTATTAATTCTATGCTTATCGAGTATGCTCCATCAATAAAGATACTAAAGTTGTCAACTTCTCGATTAATTATAACAGAGTTTTGAGATAATCCTTGCCAACCAACATTATTCATGCCAAGCTTATTGTGATTTAAGCTCATACATCCAATAACACCTCTAACATGCACCCCAATGCTGGTAATATTTGTATCCTCTTGAAAAATGAATTCATTGTGGTTCTTCCACAAAAACCAGCAAACAATAGAAAACCATTCAGTCTAATTCTCACCATTTCTACCTACATTATAGCTCAAATTCCATTTGAACCAGTTGAAAGCATTCAAGGCAAAAAAAAAAAAATCCTCAAGATGTTCAAGTCGCACATTCCTAAGCCAGATTTCTTTTGAGAAGGCATAGTCCCGAAACACATGTAAAATATCTTCACAATCATAATCACATCTAGAGCACTTAGCATCAACACACATACCTCTATTTCTTCACACCTCATTAGTCAACAATCTATCTTGCAAATCAGCCATAAAAAGGACTTACACCGAAGGAGTGATATCATCGTCATGAAATAACTCATAAGTTGACTTGATGGTAAAACACCCATTCTTTTCAGGTCTCCAATGGATAGAGGTTTGTCCATTAGGAAGAGTAAACTACTGAAGGCCCATTTCTAATAAATCCCAAGTCTTCTTAATACCACACCAAATTTTGGAACTAAGCCTTTTCCATTCAATTTTTAGTAATAAATCATCCCCACATTCGTACTTGGCATGTACAACTCTAGTCCAAAGAGAATCTTTTTTGTGGATAAGCTCTCACCCTTTCTTCATTAAGAAGGCCTGATTTTGAGCGATAAGAGACTTAATACCCAAACCACCATTGTCCTTATTTTGACACACCTTATCCTAAGCCACTGGGTGAATCTTTCTTTTCTCCTGGGAAGAACCCTAAAGAAATGATCTAGCAAGCTTCTCCACTTCATCACAAATCACAATGGGTAGCAATATTGCTCAAAGTTGTTTCCACTTGATCAACTGAAGCCTTTGAAAAAATCACGGTCGTTAACAAAAAATAGGTGTGACAAAGCAGGTCCCAATTTTGAGAGTCTAATTAGCCTCAAAGCACCCTTTTGAATTTCATCTTGTATTATATAAGCTAGCTTCTCAATACAAATCATAAAAAGATAGGGAGATATAGGATCACCTTGTCTAAGTCCATGAGTAGGTAAGAATTCCTCCGTTTTGTAACCATCTTAAAGAATTTCCATACTAGAAGTGTCCAAGCAACGAGAGATAATAACTACCAATTTAGTCGACAATTTTAATTCAACAAGACAATCCCGAACGAAGTCCCATCTAATGTGATCGTAAGCCTTTTAAAGGTCAATCTTAATGGCCATAAAGCCTTTCTTTCTTTTCATATTCCCCATTGAGTGAATCACCTCCTGTGCAACAATAATATTATCAGAACTCTCCTTCCAAGCATAAAACTACATTAGTTAGGGGCAATGATAGAACGTAAAATCCCTTTAATTCGATTAGATATCACCTTCATCTAAAATCACGAATGGTTTCCTAGTTCTCTTTCTTAGGAATGAGCATGATAAAAGTATTGTTAATATCCCTAATTAGGGATTAGTCTCTAAAACTGCTTTGCACCATAGAAATTATAAAAGGCCCAATTAAGGTCTATTGGTTTTGAAAGAAAAGAGCATTCATCCCATCTAGACCAGGAGACTTTAGCGGTCCCATATCAAATAAAGCTCTACGAATCTCCTCAGCATCAAACATTCTAGATAATTGGTTGATCTGAACATTGTCAACCTCCGAAAATGAATGGAAAGTCTGAACAGTTTGTCTTGGTCCCTCATCATCCTTAAAAAGGTCAATGAAGAAGCTTCTAGTAATCTGAGCAATCCTTTTAGTATCATATACCCTAGCAATTTGAGCAATCCTTTCAATATCATATACCTAACTCCTATCTTCCTTTTTAAGAGCTTCAATTCTGTTCGCTCTTCTTCGAGCATTAACTTTTCCATGAAAATATCTATTATTTTTATCACCAGAAACAAACCAATCACACTTAGGTTTTTGAGCCTAAAGGAGACTTTCTTGCATAAGAATTTCTTTAAGATCAAGCCAAAGTCTGTATTGTAACTCCATCCTTGCAGGTGCATTAAAACAAGGCTAGTCCATTTTAGAAAGGCCTTCAAGCCTACAAATCAATAACTTTTTCTTATTATCGAGATGCCCAAAAACTTTATCTTTCCATTTCAAGACGGCCTCCGTAAAAGAACACATATTATCATTCCAACTATCTAGATTGTTCCAGTTCTCATACACCAATTGATCAAACTCATTATGAAGAACCCAAGAGGTGACAAATCTAAACAACTTGGGCCATGAAGAACATGAGATAGTGTCTTCATACAACTTTAGAATAATAGGCCTGTGATTAGATTTGAAATAAGGCAAAGTGACAACTGTTGCATTAGGAAAATTACATGTACCTTCCTTATTCATGAGCATATGATCAAGTTTACTCTCACACCCAGCTCTATGCCAAGTAAACAATGGCCCTTTGCACTCTATATCTATTAACTCTAATTCATCAACTAACAAGCAAAAAATTTGGCTAGCAATAGTAGAAGGATGAGATGAGGATCTTCTTTCAAGACTAGACAAGATAAAATTAAAGTCCCCTCTTATGAACCAGGGACCATCAATATTCATGTTAATACATCTAAGTTCGTTCCAAAGAAGATTTCGGTTAACAGCATTCGGGCTAGCATACACAGCTGTGCCATACCAGCTCGGATCATTTTTCTTTACCTTGAAATGAATACATTGAGCGTGACTACTAAGAATCTCAATTTTCTAGTCTAAATCATCCCATAAAAGCCAAAGACCTCCACTATATCCTCTTGCATCAACAATATGATTATTATGGACTTAGCAATACTAAGAGCATTAGGATCGCTAGTTCTAGTCTCCACTATTGCCAAAATCCCTACCTTATATCTACACTTCAATTCTTTAATAAGGCATGGAGAGGAACACGGCCCAGTGCCTCTAGAATTTCAAGTCATAAAATTCATAAAAAAACATATTAAAAAGAATGGGCTTGCAAGCCCAAGTCAGTACTTGCACATAGAGTGATGTCCATTTTAGTCACAGCGTCTAGCTCTTGATGAAGTATTCTAGTACTATTTGGTAGCTGATTCATGATGTGACACCCTTTTACATCCTGGCCTAGTTCATTCACACGCTAATTAGCCATCAAGTCCAAGCAATTTGGCCCATTATCCATTTGAGGAGTTTCACCACCAGACGTGCTCTCACCATTAATTGCAAAAGCATCAAATGAATTTGGGCTTATAAAATCTGGCCCATTTTGATATGCTCTAGGTGCAGTATTCTCTTTCTTTTTTCCTTTGACTTTCAAAGGAGCTTTTCTTTTTCCTCCCACTAGGGTCTACTCTAATTTTTGATTCAAGATCTCCCTGCCAAACTAACACTGCTCCTCAAAATTCTTTCCATGCATATTAGTATAATCATTAAATGCTTTACTTCCCTGCTCTCCAAATCTCAATTTTCTTGGCACAACCATAGGCTTCTCTATCTCCTTCCCCTTATCCGAAACACTCGCAGCTCCCTTAGGCTCTGATTTCAGCAATCTCTTGTGAAAATCTTGTTTAATGATCATATCAGGCCCGTATTTTCCACTAGATAATGTCGCCGGTGTACCTCCATCATTCTGGTCCACTGCATGAGTTTTGTCAGATTCTCCTGGCTTTTCCGACGTGATCTCCTCCACTCTTTAGCCATCCCCTGATTGTATCTTATCAATAGACATAACCATCTATTGTTTCTCTTCATCTAAACCGTCATTCATTTCTTTTCCTTGTTCATATCCTTGAGCTTGATCAAGACAAACGTTCAAATGATGCCCAAACCAGCTATAGTGGAAGCAGATGAGATGAAGACCTTCATAAGCGATTTTATACTCTTCCCCATACATAGTGAAGATGGGCATAAGAGGTTTGCTTAAGTTGAATTCAACACATATTCTAGCAAAGGCACCCTTATCAAATATAAAAGTAGACTAATCAACTTTTAGAATAATACTAACCTTATCCCCTATCATTCTTAAAAATTCTATATTATATAATTCGACGAGCAAATCCAAGACACAAATTTCAGCGGCTATCCTTCTCTGTGTTTTTGCTTTCTAGGGATTAAAATTAGGTCTTCATTTTTGCACAAGAAGATAGTGATCATCCATCATTCATGGCCCCTCCTGGTAAGCATGATCAAGATCATCCTTGCTAGAAAGGGAGATAATAAAGTATCCATTACTTAGTGGTGTAATTTGCATAGGCTCCTTAATCCGCCACATTCTTGTTAACCTGATTCTCAAAAACCTTAATAGGATATTTCGTCCCAATAATTTCACAATAAGAGAGTTTAACCAGGGCTTGCACGAGACAAGATATGCTTGTTCAGGGATCTTCAACTTTGGGATTTTCATAGACCTCTGATCATCAGACAAATCCTCCTCCTTCGATTCTTCCTCGCTTATTTTCCCTTCTGCCCTCTTAATAGCCTCTTGCGCCCTTAACTTTTCAAGGTAGCTCTTCCAAGTTCCAACCATGCATAATATCGTCGGATTCATCATTAGGAGAAAGAAAACCTATAGAATTCAGACTCAGCAAAGAATCCTTATAGGATATCTTCTTCCTAGAATTCAAGCCTTCAATCATCTTATCCTCCTTCCCACCCTTGCGATATCTATCAGTGTTCGTATTGGAAAAAACAAAGTTACTCCTTCCTTCATTGATTTCGCCTTCAAGATCACCACCCTTATCCTCGCCACCATTACCTCCATTAATCTCCAGACGCTCTCTCTTTTCCTCACTCATTTTATTCAGTCCAATTTTGAAGACATTGCTTTACACTCGAGTTTCCCGTCCTCCTTCCAAAGAAACGATTCATCTCATATACAAAACCGTATTGATGGTTAAAAAAAAAAAAAAAAACGTAAAAAACCGCATGCCACGTCAGATGTGCTGACATGGCGGACCATCAATCAAGTTAGATAGGCAAATATAGGCGACAGGCTACAGCGGGAATCAGAAGCACTCGAGTTAGCCACCCACGGGGACAAGGCGATGGAGGCGCTTAGAATATGGACCTTAGCCTCGCAGCCACTGAAGCGCTTCTCTCGCCTCGTCTCTTCCTCCACTACCACCACCATTAGGCGGACACCTACTAGAGTGGTTCTTCGCTGTTGCTCTTCTTCCGCCACCACCTCAAGCAATGTCGACCAAGGTGCTCCCAAGGGCGCTGGTCGTAATCGCCGGTCTTCTTCGTCTTCGTCTTCTACTTCCGATAGGGAAGCTGTCAGAGCCATTCGGTTGAAGAAGGTAGGGTCTACTACAATATCAGAAAAAACTGTTTCAGTATGTGATTGTTTTCTACGATTTATAATTTTATTTCAACCTTCTGTACTGAGGAAATAATAATTTCAGAGTTAGTTTGCATTGTATTATGTAAAATTGTGAACTTCTTCTTTTAAGTGATTTAGCTTTGCCGTTGGGTTATGTCCAATTTGTGGCATAGTATCTATCTTAGGGATTTAGACAGTAGTCTTTTAATCTTGAAGTAATGGGAATTTACTATTTTCTATTTGACACTTTTCTGTCCTTCTCTAGACAATCAGTTGGGAAAATTGAGTTGCAAACTTATATGTCAAGTTTATTTCTAGGGACAAATGCCCCCTTCAGCTATGGATAGGAGAGACAGTGTGATAGGTTTTGGTTAACTGCTTGATTTCTTATCATAAGGTCTGAAAATTGGTGATTCTATCTTTAAAATTATCCATTCATTTAAACTCAAATCTTATCATTTCAATTGCTTCAACTTCATTGTTATTTTGTAGGTTGAAGAATTGAGAAGCAAGGGGCTTGATCCATATGCTTATGGATGGGACAGAACTCACAGTGCTGATCAGCTTCAAAATATATATAAAAATTTAGAAAATGGAGTGAAATTAAATAGCGATAATGATCAAGTATCTGTGGCAGGAAGGATTATTGCTAGGAGGGCATTTGGAAAGCTTGCTTTCCTGACACTTAGGGATGATTCAGGAACTATTCAGGTATTTTTAAAGACTCATTTTTTTTCTCTCTGAAAACCCATAGTAGGCTGTTCACTATGAACTGTCAGATGTGAGCTTTTGTATAGTTCTTATGCTTAAACTCATAGTTGAGTCTTCATAGTTCGTTGCATTTCTTAATTATAGAAATGTTAGAGCATGTGTTGCTTCTATGTAATACGTGTTGTAGTGAGGTGCTGACTGCAGTTATTGAAATCTTTAATTTCAGCTTTACTGTGATAAAGAGAGGCTCCCGGGTGATCAATTTGAGCAAGTAAAAGCATTTGTTGATATTGGTGACATACTAGGTGCTAGAGGTTCTATAAAACGCACTGAGAAAGGTGTCACTCTGATGTTCTTTAAAATTTGCTTCCTTTAGCTCATAATTCTTCAGTAGAGTTACTGTGACTTGCATTTCTAACATTCTATATTGTGAGTAATTTCCTAAAATGCTTTACATAGTGCAGCAGATTGTGCAAGTTGGGCTTGGGTTGTCAATTATAGTCATATACAGATTATTGATGATTTTTCAGTGATAATTTTAGATAATTATTAGGATATTTTTGGTCAGACTGAGGTAGTTAAGGAGAAAATGGAGTCTTATTAGGATATTCTTTATTGCTGTCAATGAAAGTATAATATATTAAGATATAAGAGAAGTATAAATAGGATACTATATGGTATAGGGAAATATGGAAAGATCTTTTTGCGTGTCCTCTTTGATAAATATACCCTTAGGCTAATGTACTAGAGTATTATTCTTTTCCTTTGTTTACTCTTTGACTCCCTTATGGACATCTGTTCTGTTTTTGCTTGTATGTTGGTCCTTGGGACATCATTTTTATTTGCTTATCGTTCTTAAATGAAGTTAAAACATGGTTTGTATTCTGACCTAAGAATCTTGTTTTATGAACAAAGTATTAGAATAAACTGGTCATTTAATTTAAGATAGTCAACTGACTCTTGCAGTAAAATACACTGGAAGTTTTAATCCTAGAATAACATCATAGAAAAGGTGTAAATTATATTGATAATGATGTTTAGAAGGTAATTGATTTATTAAGCTAGGAAACAAGTTTCATTTGGCTTCAAAATCTGATCTTTTTTGGGTTTGATTTTGTATTATATTTTGTATTGCAATTAACTTTTGACCGAGACATAAAGGAAAGCCAAATTGTCAATGGAACATAGCCAATGCTATGGAAGTATGATGGCCTTACCCAGAACTATAAATATGAGCCAATAATTTGTGACCCATTATTCAAAATTAAAGTCTAGTTGTCCATCATGAAAGTGGAATGAAACGACAGTCAATGATAACAATATTATGTTTTCAGCAACTGGGGTTTCTGCACAAGCAGATGTCATTTCTGTCTTGAGCAATTTTTGTTTGAAATGCATTTCTTTTATGGAATTTCATTGCTTAATATGTTTCTGTTTTTTTTTTTTTGGGTCTTCAATAAGAAGACGCAACAAGAAAAAAGATTGAGCAAAATGCAAAAATATTGACAAAATTATCATATGAAACATGAAGACTTTAGCAGACAATGTAATACAGCTTGGAACAGATCTGCTTTTTGAGGACTTGCAGAATTGGGAATGCATCCGATTTTGAGTGGGTGTCTGAATTGAAGTTGATGGGTTACTTGTAGCTTGGCTTGGCACATTATTATCTTATGTTAATTGTGTTACTGTGTGTATAATTCCGAAGAGAAGTTAGTGTTTTGATCAGCTAAAAGAAGTCTTTGTGGGGTTATATGAGATATTTTAGATTCATTTTCCTTACTTCCTCTATTTTTTCTGTTAGCCCTGTGGGTCTTTCAAGGAGTTGGACTTTTGGTATTCTATGATGATGGACCCTGGGCAAATAGATGTAATATGGGAGGTTCCCGGTCTGTTATAATGATTGGTGAGGTGTCCAAAGAGGGGCCCAGGGCTGCATTACTATCACATGGGACAAGAGGTGAAGGAAGGGGAAAGGGGAGAGATGGAGTTGGCTATAAAGAAGGACATACATAGGATGGATTTGGGACGAGTGAGGTAAGAAATTTGTGACTGTGTGAATGGGAGAGACTAGCCTCTCAAATGCTATCTTACTCTGTGTTTTCTGCTATCTTCTGTGTGGCTTATCTATTAAGACCTGCACTCTGGCAGTTTATTGTTAATTTGATACCATTTCGAGCTTGAGTTCCATTATATGACTTGTAGGCCCTGCATATTTGTCATTCTTACATACCAGGTATAATTTTTTGTGTACTTTCTCAGTTCTCTGTCTGTCAATACTCGATGGCTGTTGTTGGCTTCTATTACTCTTACTGGATAATGACACTGAAAAGAAAATCTACCTGCTAACTTTATCATCACTTTGTATTGGTCTCACTTGGAATTTGGAAATCATTTTGAAGGGCCTAATAGGCAAGGAAGAAAACTCCTTTATTGTTTGTCCAATAAAGCAAATGTTTCTTAAATTGATTATAGAAGGCTCTAAACCTTCTGCCTTTCATTTCTTATACTGTTACTTGGATGCTAAATCCTAGAAATACAACAAATCAAATACATTTTTTTGGTTGTTTCAAAGCTGTGATCGATTAAGATGGAGATTATCCCTGTTTATGGTTGGTTGATTGCATCATGCTGGTCTATTACTAATATCTTGTATTTGATGAACATGCCTTATCTTTTAATATAACTACTACAAGGGGTGGAGCATTTGTACAATACTGTGATTTTCTGTCATAATATCTTTGCTACTTCTTTATGTTATTTTTCTTGTTTTGTTCCTTTCTTTAGGGGAGCTCTCTGTTTATCTGAATTCTTTTGTGATCCTTACAAAATCTCTGCTTCCACTACCTGACAAATACCATGGATTAACTGACATAGATAAGCGTTATCGCCAGAGGTTAGTGCACATTTCAATGTCTTATGTCACTTTACTCCAGTTCTTGTTATGTTTAATTTTTTTTATTGAGAAGAGGGGTTTGATTGGGGGCATGGCTTCTTGGGTTGTACAATGGAAATGGTGTGTTTAGTTTTTGATAGTGCAATTATGACATTTTTCCTAATAACTTGCTATTTCTTTCATAATGTTCTTGAAAGTTATTTTCTTGTCCTTTATTGTTGCATTGTGTTAGGTTCTCACAAAGAAAGAGATGGGGTTTACCTTCTGATAGAGAATAAAAAGTGTAAGAGGGAAAGAGAGAGAGAGCCAGAAGAAGAGAAATAGAGAGAATAGAACAAGGGGGAAGAGAGAAATGAGAGAAAGGATGATTCTTCGTTATTCCAAAACCCTTGATTAGAATACAGATACTGACCTTTCCCTCCTTGTATAGCCATTGGTCCTTAATGCCTAATCAACTAACAACCTAACTACCCATTACCCCCTAATGCCTATTCAATTATTTATTACATATCACCTTCTAATAAGACACCTCATTTAACAAGCACTCCCTTGAATAATCCCTCTTTGGCCTTTAAATCCAGATTGGGGTTTTCTATTATCATTCAGAACAAGGCAATAGGTCACCAAAATAGTCCAACTTCTCCATCTAATCTGATGGAGGACCTCATCTAAAAATAGTTCTAGCTGACATGTTATCCGCATTTTTAAAATAATACTTGGATGCGAAAGTCTTGTTTTTATTGGCTTTTGACATCCTCTACCAAGTCATTAACTACAAAAGTAAGATTCAGAATATGGAGACTTGCAATAAAAGCACTTTAGTTTTCAAATATGATGCTCAACATGTATGAGAAGATATTATGTCAGATATTACTAACTCATTATAGATGAGGATGAGGGATTAAAGATAGATAAAAGAAAACATATTTTACTTAAGAGTAGGATCATAAATTAGTAGTTTAAATTGCATCTATTTTATTTAATCCCCCCTTCTTTTGAAGTTATGGGGAACTATTCTATGGGGTCTATATAATGACCTCGTCAATTATATTGAAGTAGATTTTGTCCATTTTGGATTATGCTGTTTGTTTTATTCTCTGCTTTTTTTTCTCTATCAATTTCCTCCCTTTCTTTACCTTTATGTTTCTCCCTCTTTCTCCCTCTCCCTTCTCATCCACTACTATTCTGTGTCATAGTGATAAGTTTATTCACATTGGTCATCAAACTAGTAGGCTTGGCTTGACTTCTTTTGTCATAGTAGATCCATCCTCTGGGCATTCTGGCCCCTCACCTCTGTTTTTCTCCGTAACTTTTGACTACCAATTTTTACGTCATTTTGCTTTTCAGGGTTTCAAGAGGTATTTCATTGACGAAGTTCAAAGGGTTTTATGTTAATAATTGTTATTCTTATTTTTATGTTTTCATGTGAATGTGCATTGTGTGTTTCTATTTCATTTGTGAGCTTCTTGTTTTCCCTCTTCCACATGTCTTCCTCTTTCTTTGTTATGTGATTTTAGTAACTCTACTTATTTTGATCCGATTATCATTTCTGAAGTCATTGGCTTTTGTTAATTCTGAATTGCTAGGAAGTTTACGCACTGAAACTTGAGTAGCCCTTTTGTTTAAGTATTTCTTCCTGATGTTTGTTGTGGTTAGGTATGTAGATATGATTGCAAACCCAGAGGTAGCAGATGTATTTCGTAAAAGGGCAAAGGTGGTTCATCTCTCTTACCTTTTCATCTGAATAGAACTGTTTGCGGTGGTTCACATCTTATTTTCTTTAAATATCTATACTAGATGATTAGTACTTTAGTTTAGATATAAAAGGCTTGCTATGTTTAAGCTACATTTCTTTTTAAATGCCAACAGCTACCTTCTGCTTTTACTGTCTCTTTATTGGACCATAACTTGGAACACAATGTTAGGAGTTGATGCTGCTAAATAGAATGTAATTACCGAAGGAATAAGAATATGGGAAGATAAAAATGAAAAGAAGTTAAGACAAAATGGACCCAAAGTTACTCATTAATAATTTAAATAGATAAGTAAGTTTTTGAATTTACTAAGCTGGTGCATGTGTCATTGACAAGTGTTAAGTCGTGTCAGCCTTAAATTGCAAAGCTACACCTAATGTAACATGGGGTGCAACCTAGGTCTTTCTTCCCTAAGAAATAGATTTAAGTTGAGCTAAATTGAATTAGAAGTGTGAATAAACAGTAGCAAATGATTGGGTTTGGATTGGCTAGTGTGAAAAGAAAGCAAAACCTGGTCTTCTTTTTGTGCGTTTGCAAGTTTAATGGAAATGCAATGGAATGAAGATGACATCAATTCGATAAGCGATCCCTAGGAGTAGGAATCGGGGACAATCCTAGCCAATGCAAGTTTAATTAGCTCATTCACCTTGACTCATTGGTATATAGTAGCCTAAAGGATTCTTTAGACTTGATGGAATTGCTTTCTATAAATCCTAGAACGCTAGCAACTTGTGGTAGTTCAATTTCACTTGATTGACTCATCAACATATAGATTGATCTTGGAATGATTAATTATGCCTAAAACAGCCCCAAAACAGATCCTAATTATATTTGATCTTGCACGATTGGATTGGATTTGATTTGATCTTCAACCAGCCCTTTGAGTGATGCCACATGTCCTCACTCAGTGACCAATTGGCACATGTTGTGCAACATTTAATTCTTTTGCCACCTACACGCAAAATAAAATGTTCACTAGAATATGTATTATGAGAATTTGTTTATTTATTTAATATTCAATAAAATCTGTAAAAATTTGCAATAAATTCCAAAAATTCCCATAAAATTAATCTTCCCCTCTAAACACAACTATTAATCAATTAAGCTCAGCTAATCACAAAACAAGTTCTAAAAGTCAAGTTTAATCAGGTAAAAATGTGAAAAAAATATGATTTATCAATCAGATTTCCCAATCAAAATAAGTGCAAGGACAATTTCATTATATGTTTTCTATAACTATTATAAATCAATGAAGTAGTTCCTATTGACATTTGTGTAACTTAAAGTATTAGCCTTCAATTTTTAAATTAATGTTTGATAGAGACTTGGGTAGTACAAGATGCTTGAGTCTCACATTGAGCAGTATGAGATGCTCCATTGGGTATTTAAGTGACCTGGTTTTCTCATCTCAATAGCTATTTTTTGGGGGAGGCTTCCTCATTTCATTTGAGTACCTATCAATTGGTATCAAAGTTGGTGGTTGACGGTTCTAAAAGGGCTATCTATGGAGCATTTTGACTAATGAAGAAGCCAAGTGAGGTGGCATAGAGTGTGTTCTTTGAGGATATTAGCTCTCCAAGGAGGCCAATTTATGAAGACTTGGATAGTATGGGATGCCTAAGCCCTGCACTTGGTTGTATATAATGCTTTATAGGGTATTTATTGGGCTGGTTTCCCACTTCAATGGCTAGCTTTTGGTGGAGGGTTCCCCATCCCTTGGGTACCCATGAATTTCATATAAGAGAACTGGAAGGATTGCCTGTTTTGTTTATATTTAAAAAAATAACTATGTTTACATAAAGCATTGCTGAATTTTTTTTTTTTTTCATTGCACAACTAAATTACTGGCCTATGCTTGTTTGGATTGCTATTCCTAAAAAAGTTTAAATTCCATGTAGATAGCTGCCATATTGTCTGGTGTCTGATTTGGTAAAATTATCCATTACAGATATCTATGTTGAATATGGTTCTTGCTTTGAATGAAACTATATTCTAATTAAAACTATTTACATCAGAGGCTTTAAACCCCCTATGCAAAAACTCACATCAGGTATAGAATAAAAAGAGAATTGGCCTGCAAGATAGAAACAAACCCACCCCAGATGATGTTACATGTTTTACCTAACACCTTTGTTTACCTGTTCCTGCCTATGTACAAGTGTTTCCATTTAACAAAAAATCATTTGCTAGTTTATGACAGATCTGCGTATCATCAGGGAGTTCTTGTCAAAAAATAAAGTTATTTTTGCTTGCCAAAAGCATAGATTGCAGCACAAAACATAGTCATCCTAAGCTTAAACAACAGCCTTTTCTTCCTTCTAGTTTTCACAAAAACATGTAAATGGATAATCTTGAAGAGCCAATATCTAAGTTAACATAAGCCATTGTTATTTTAAAAATATTAACAGGTATAGAATGTCCAAGAAATAAATGATGAAATGTTTCATGATTAGTTTGTCAAAAATTGCAGAGGTCATTTTGCTTTAACTTAAAGTGTTTCGGAAAATCCTTGGTAGCTAATTTGCCATGGAAAACCAGCTAAGCAGTAATTGAATATTTTGGCAGTGTGCACCCACTCTAAACAATAGGACCCTGGGGGACTTCAGAAGGGGTAGGATGAAAACTTCAATAACAATCCTGCAATATGATTACACTGCATGTAGATTTTTTTTCTTGCATTCTTAATTGTGATTGCCATCAAGGGTGAAGAATATAAGATTTTGATAGTTGATTTTCCAATGATTATTGCTTTTCACTCGGTGCATGAGCTAGTAAGTTCTATGCATAAATTAATATAAACTCTTTGCCTTTCCAAAGATTGTATCAGAGATACGCACAACAATGGACTCCTTAGGGTTTGTTGAAGTTGAAACTCCGGTTTTGCAGGTTTGTTATATCGTTGTACCTTCAAGTTTACGTGGATTCTTTTATTTGATTTTAGTTCATCTCTTGGTGGATGATTGTTTCTGAAAGAATGCAAATTGTACAAGTCTTTCATTGACAGTCGTTGGTATCCTAACATATTAGGCATTAGTTTGACAGGCATCATGTAATTGTTTGATCTTCCTCTTCCTGTTAAAATTTAACACAATACCTTTTCTTTTAAAGTAATAGTTAGTGACAGCAATTGGTGAAATTTAGAGCCAAGTACCCAGAATGCTATAGCATGTAGGGAGAACTGCATAGTGTATATCTATACAATTCCCACGTCAAAAAATGGAACTTTAATTGTTAACAATCATTATAATGATTTCAACAACTAACTGCTAACCTGTACAGTGGTTCTGTCATTCTTTCGATGCTTCTATTTTGGCACTTTGTTGGTCTTATGTTTTATTCGGTCTGATCCCCTGTTGCTTGCATGCTTCACAACCTTGTTTTAATTTAGAAAATTTCTTTTTCAACAATACTTTTTAAATGCCATCATGTTTGGAATTTGTTTCTGTGTCAGCCCTCTTTCGATTAATTTTATTGTCCAGGGCACAGCTGGGGGAGCTGAAGCCAGACCATTTATTACATATCATAATTCTCTTCAACGGGACTTGTATCTGAGGATTGCAACTGAACTTCATTTAAAGAGAATGCTGGTGAGATATTTTGTGACGTGAACTGACTGTATAATGAACCCCAATCAGCATGTCATCTTTTGAAGTTCTGGTTTTTCTTTTATTTAAACCGTGAAACTGAAGTGTCTACAGAAAATACTCTTTTCATTGTTAGGGGAATGGAATATTAAATAATCATCTTCTTTACATTTAATATTGTGAAGATACGATGCAACTAGTATGTTAAACAATAAAAGGAAACATGGAGATAGATTTAGTATTATCAACAATTTGCCACCAAAAGATATTAAATTACTATTCACGGTCTTGGATTTTTATGGACATGGCAACATTCTGAGGGTTTGAAAAGTATACATTTCAAAGGTTGAATGGAAGAGGCTTCTTCAGGCTATGAATTTAATGTAGCTAACCACTTTGATGTGTTTCTTCATGACAGGTGGGAGGGTTTGAAAAAGTATATGAGATTGGCCGGATATTTAGAAATGAAGGAATTTCTACTCGTCATAATCCTGAATTTACAACTATTGAGGTAAAGTTTTGAGCATGCAGTAACGGGAGTGCATCTTCAAGCACCTATTCGTTTTCTTTTGAGATGTGATAGATTAACTTGAGAATTTTAAAGCAATTGGGTTGGGGTGGTGTCTGGTATGAGTATGTATACTGGTTGTAGTTAATGCATTTGTAGTTATATCTTAATGACATTCTGATTTATTAATATTTATAAAATTTTAGATGTATGAGGCATATTCAGACTATCAAAGCATGATGAATTTGGCAGAGGAGATTGTCACTCGGTGTGCTCTTGCGGTTCATGGAAAACTTACTGTTGATTACCAGGTAGATTTTGTATTTGGTCAATCTCATGGCATGATGTTTGTCTGTTTATACAAGATGTCATATGCAAGTTATTTCAAAGCTTTAACTGAAATTAATGGTCTTGTTAAACATCCTTTTTTCTCATTTAGTTGCTTAGGGAAGAAAGGTTATTTCAAAGACTATCTGGTCTTTTAATATCTTTCAAGTCTTATTACCTAGGCACTATCTTGGGACTGGAAGTTAGATTTTAACTTCTCATCACCAGAGTGGTTAGTGTGTTTCTTTGTATTAGTCTTTTGGTAACTAATTAGATAAGGTTATGATGACATTATATGACTTCTTGTTCTACAATACTGTTGCAATAGTAATTCATGATGCATAACATTCTTCAATTATTCCAATTTTCTTCCAATACAACAAATCTGCTGAAGAGGGTTAAATGCACTTTGCAGGGGGATGAAATATGTTTGGAGCGTCCCTGGAGAAGGGATACCATGAACAACCTTGTAAAAGAAACTGCTGGAATTGATTTCAATGAGTTGGGAAGTGATCTAGATGTTGCAAAGAAAGTTACTCTAAGCACCCTTGGCAATAACCTTGATAAGAAAGATAAAGCTTCCATCGATGCATGCCAATCACTTGGCCACCTCCTTAATGAGGTTGATTAGCTTCTCTATCTCATGTTCCTCGAGGCATTTTTAGTCCTCTTTATTTCATGTACTTGGTTTTGTTTGCAACTACTCACTTATTATTTTTCAAGTTGATTATTCTTTATTAATATGTTCAACTTCCTTCTGGTCGTGCTTTTAAAAGTTTTTGTATTTTCAAATTCACTTGGCCTATACAGTTTGTTGGTCTTGTTTTTTCAGGTTTTTGAGATTGTTGTAGAACCAAAACTTATCCAACCTACATTTGTGTTAGACTACCCAATTGAAATATCACCCCTGGCTAAGCCCCACCGAAGGTAGTGATATCTTAAGTGCTATTTTATCAACTTCCTTGTGCTGATACTGTCATGCTGTACATTTTGGTATTTCTGTCCAATTGCTATTAGTTTAGGATGTACTGCTTTTTTTGACACCAACAATTTAACTTAGTTATAGTTATTGTGTATTTGTGGTTAATACCAATCAATGTTCAGAAAACCAGATTGGCTGGTGATCCAGGTCATACAAAGTGGGAAACTGGCACCTAGTCTGGTCTAGAACATTCAACTGGACCTTCTGAAAACTGATCTCAATGACTGGAAAATCCAGTTAGGAACTAGAGAACCAGTAGGAAAAAAATATGAAAATTTCAAACTTCGGAGCTTTTAGAAAGATAGCCAAAGCCCAAGAAGGGATCCTTGAGGATGCTATCAAGGTGTTAAAGGAACGTTTTTGTTTGAAATCCCTTGAAAACTATAATTTTAATGAAGGACAAACGCCAGAAATAATAAAATGAAGGACAGAAAGTGACCTATGTATCCCATCCCGTCTCATGCGAATGCCTTCACTGCCTCCAATTGCTACTTCTCCATCTCTTAATAATTTACGTGAAAGGGAAAAAAAAAAAAGAAAAAGAAAAACTCTTTTTGATTTCTTCTTCCCTATAAAACTCACAGGGAAAAAACTCACGTTTCTGCAAGTTCATGGCTTTCACATCCCTGATTATATGCTTGGCCTTTTGTTCTTTCTTCTCAATTCATATAGTACAGTTAGGGACTGGACATGAAATAATTCCACATCTGTAATACAATCAAATGATAATTGTAAAACACTGAGGAAAATAATAGAGTTGTGGGAAAGGTAGTTAGCATATCTGCCGATTTACCATCTATTTTATTTACAATCGTATGTACGAAACAAAGAGGAAGAAGTTTTATCTTGTTGGGTGGGGTTGGCTATATGGATTGCATAATGTTATTATGCTCTATCAGCAACCAAATCTTTGGATATATTGTTAACCAAAATGTATCATTTGATAACTTCATTGAGTATTCTCTTTGGTTTTCCTTTAGCCCCTTTCATATAGCTCAAGATTATCTGCTCCATATTTCTCACTAGTATCTCTAGCGGACTTCTTTATATATGTTTTGTGAAATATAATTAATTAGGAAATATTCTTTTCTAACTAATAGGGATATGATTCTGATTTATAGGGATATGGTTAGATAAGATTATGAGGGTAAATAAGTGATTTGATTTTTTCTGATTATTTCCTTGTACAGTCAGCCTTGTAATCGTGTATATATATCTGCTCAGAGGAATAATAGATCATTCATTCTGGTCAATATACCTACATGGTATCAGAGCTGATCGACGGTTCTGACCCAGAAAACGCAGACGATAGCGTACGACCAGTAGAGGAGTCACAGTCGAGCAACTCAAGACCTTTGTCCATGGGCTCGAGCACCGAGAACTCCTCATCGTACACCCATGGTGGAACTCCCCTCAGGTTGAGTTCTGCCGAAGGGTCTTCTATTCTCCTGGTGTCCGATAAATTCAACGAACATAATTACCGTGAGTGGGCTCAAGCTATACGGCTCGCTATTGGTGGTCGGGAAAACTGGGCTTCATCACCGGTACGTCTAAGGTACCAGACGAGTCAGACGCAGCAGCCTTATCAAAGTGGGAGACCAAGAACTCACTAGTTGCTTCATGGTTGGTCACAGCCATGACTCCACAGGTTCGACGCTCCTTCATGTTTCTGCCTACTGCGAGAGACATTTGGGAAGCTGTTCGAGAATCATACTCGGATGGTGAAGACAGTGCTCGAACATATGAGCTGAAAACTCGAAGCTGGCAGATTAGACAAGCTGAACGTGACTTGACTGAATATTGGTTAGAACTCGTTACCATATGGCAGGAGATCGACCTCAACACAGAAGAGGAATGGGCTTGTGCTCCTGATGCAGCAAGGTACAAAAAATGAGTTGAGGATGAGCGGGTGTTTCAATTCTTGGCTGGTCTTCATCACTCATTAGATGATGTCCGAAGCAGAATCCTAGCTCGCTCGCCATTACCCTCAGCACGAGATGCATTTGGAGAAATCTGTAGGGAGTCTTCTCATCGAAAGGTGATGCTTACTGACCCTGTTCCTGTATCTTCTTCTTCTGAAACCTCTGCCTTGATAAGTAGGAGCTCTGATCACGGTTTGAAGGAGACAAAAGGAAAAATCTCGTGTGATCATTATAAAAAGACTGGTCACACAAAGGACAAGTGTTGGGATCTTCATGGGAAGCCTGCTGACTGGAAACCACGCAAGGGTAAGGCACGTGGATATCAAGCTACTTCTGAAAATGCCCCAGATAAATCTGCTGCTATCCCTCAAATGGATAAAGACCAGTTAATTAAGCTCCTGGAGGTGTTAAATACACTACAATGACCTGGTCAACCATCTCAAAACCACACTGGGTAAGAATCATTTTGCATTGAATACCTCCTTCCATAAATCCCGGTGGATTGTTGACTCTGGGGCCTCAGATCACATGACGACAGACTCCACGTTATTCACATCATATTTTCCATGTAGTGAACATGAGAAAATTGATACTGCTAACGGAACATCTTCCTCCATTGCTGGAAAGGGAAGCATTATTATTTCTGAATTTTTACAACTGGATTCAGTTCTTCATGTTCCATACTTAGCTTGTAATTTGTTATCCATAAGCAAGTTGACTAAACAAGCTCACTGTAGTGCTCATTTTTTCTCTACTCATTGTATCTTTTAGGATCTCACATCGGGGAAGATGATTGGCAATGCTGAGTGTGATGGGTTATACTACCTTAATGAATCAACCGTGAGTAGTCTCTGGTCTCGTATTCGGTGTAATCTTGTGTCCACCTCTGAGAATAATGATCTTTTGTTATGGCATAAAAGAATGGGTCATCCTAATGTCCAGTACTTAAGTCGTCTGTTTCCTCATTTTTCATTCAATAAAATTTCTACTTTTCATTGTGATACTTGTGAATTGGCTAAACACCATCGTTCTTCACTTCCGCGCTCTGAATACAAACCGTCTAAACCTTTTTCTATCATTCATAGTGATGTGTGGGGTCCTTCCCGTATCCCAAATCGGACTCAAGCCAAATGGTTTGTTACCTTCATAGATGACTATACTCGTGTGTGTTGGGTCTACTTAATAAAAGAGAAATCTGATGTCACATCCATATTTTTAGAATTTTTTTTAGAATTTTACACCATGATTCTTAACCAATTTCATACCTCCATTCAAATCCTCCAAACTGATAATGGTACTGAATACTTGAATAAAACTATGAGTGAATTTTTGAAAATGAAGGGCATCGTCCATAAAACCTCTTGTACAAATACCCCTCAACAAAATGGTATTGCCGAATGCAAAAATAAACACCTATTGGAGGTTGCCCATGCCCTTATGTTTACCACTCATATGCCAAAATTTTTTTGGGGCGATGCTATTCTTACTGTTATACCTCAAGTGGAGATATAGTAGTGAATGTTGGGCTCTAACGGGACAGCAAGAGCATAAAGTTGGAGTAGCAGAGATGAGAATGTTACGATGGATGTGCGGACATACATGTAAAGATAAAATTCGAAATGAGCACATACGCGAAAAAGTGAAGGTGGCACCTATTGAGGAAAAAATGATAGAAAATCAGTTGAGAGGGTTTGGGCATGTACAAAGAAGACCAAGGGAGGCACCAGTGAGAAGAGTGGAACATATAACTTTGAGTCCGATTAAGAGAGGTAGAGGAAGGCCTAAGAGAACACTCTTGGAAGTTGTTGAACGTGATCTCTTAATTAATAATATTCCTAAAAGCTTGATAAATGATAGAGCACAATGGCGTCTTGCAATCCATGTAGCCAACCCCACCTAGTGGGATAAAGGCTTGTTGTTGTTGTTGTTGTTGTTGTTGTTGTTGTTGGCTATTCTTACTGTTGCTTACCTCATCAATCGAATGCCAAGTAAAGTCTTATCCTATATCACACCTCTTGATCGACTACACGAAATACATTCTCTTCACCATCTTGAAACTAATCTCCCCTTGAAAATATTTGGGTGCTCAGCTTTTGTACATCTTAACCCCACTTCAAAGCTTGAACCTAGGGCTATCAAGTGCGTATTTATTGGTTATTCTTCTTCTCAAAAAGGCTACAAATGTTTTGATCCCTCTTCCCGGCGTCTATTCGTTAGTCATGATGTCACTTTTTCTGAACACGAATCCTTTTATCCTCCTCCCTCAATTCGGGGGGGACTTGGCATGAATTTCAGTCATTCTTTGAGTATTCCCCTGTTCCATCTGTGGATCTCAACTCTCTTGAGCCATCTGTCTCTTTTATTCCAGAAGCAAAAGAAAATGCAGGTACAGAGGATAACAAGGACACAAGTACCACAGAAAAAGAGATCATAACCTATAAACGGAAGAAGAAGCAAGGTATTAAACCTCCCATACCTGAGGCAATCCTTGATTCAGAACCGATAAGAGATCTTGTAGAAGGAAATGAGAACATCATAGAGGCTGTGAATGCCAATAATGATGCCAGAAAAGAATTGGATGGTGATCTAAATTTGCCAATTGCCCTCAGAAAGAAACCTCGATCTTGTACACAGCATCCAATTCAAAAATGTGTCCTATGAAGTTATATCTCCCAGGTATCAAGGTTTCATTGCAAATCTAGATGATGTTAGTATTCCGAATAATATTCATGAGGCTTTGGAATCACCAAGATGGAGAGAAGCTGTCTTGGAAGAAATGAAAGCATTAGAGGAAAATGGGACTTGGGAAATTGTGAATAAACCAAGGAACAAGAAACTTGTAAGCTGCAAGTGGGTGTTCACCCCAAAATTCAAAGCCGATGGGAACCTTGAAAAGTTGAAGGCCCGATTGGTAGCTAGGGGATTCACACAGACATATGGCATTGACTACCAAGAAACCTTTACACCAGTGGCCAAGCTAAACACTATCAGAGTGTTACTATCTGTAACAACAAACCTCGAATGGCCTTTGCATCAATTAGACATCAAAAACGCCTTATTAAATGGAGACTTGAAAGAGGAAGTGTATATGACTCTACCTCCTGGCTTTAATCAAGGCAAAGGTGATCAAGTGTGCAAGTTGAAGAAATCACTGTATGGATTAAAGCAGTCACTAAGAGCATGGTTCGATAGATTCTCACAAGTCTTGAGGTCTTAGGCTACAAACAAGGACCATCAGATCACACTATGTTTGTTAAACTCGAAGGAGGTAAGAGATGTATTCTCATTGTGTATGTTGATGATATAGTTATTACTGGTGATCACAGTGAGGAAATCATAAAAATTAAGAATGCGCTGAGTCAAGAGTTCAAGGTCAAGGACCTAGGAAAGTTAAGATACTTCTTGGGAATGGAAGTTGCAAGATCAAAGAAGGGAATTCATGTATCTCAGCGGAAATACATACTTGATCTCTTAAAAGAGACAGGCATTTTAGGGTGTAAACTTGTTGAAACACCCATTGTTGTTCCAAAGAAGAGGCCAAAGTTCACAAAGAAGGAAGAAAATTTTAATGAAGAGACCAAGAAAGTTGAAGAAAGAGAAGATAAGGAAAAAGACAGACTAGTTGATAAAGAAAGATATCAAAGACTTGTAGGGAAATTTATCTACCTATCTCATACACGACCTGACATAGCCTTTGCAGTAAGTGTAGCTAGTCAGCATACGTGTGAGCCAAAGGAAAAACACATGGAAGCAACATACAGGATTCTAAGATACTTGAAGGGCACCCCTGGAAAAGGCTTGTTGTTTCAGAAACATGAACGGAGAACCATAGAAGTATATACTGATGCAGATTGGGGTGGACATCACCCAGATAGGAGATTTACTTCTGGTTATTGTTCATTCGTGTAGGGAAACCTGGTTACATGGAAAAGTCAGAAGCAAAGAGTTGTATCTAAGAGTAGTGCTGAGTCCGAGTTAAGGGCCTTAGCTCAAGGCATAATGGAGGAAATATGGTTGAAAAGAATACTTGAGGAAATACATGTCAGACTAGATCTACCACTGAAATTATACTGTGATAACAAGGCAGCTATAAGCATGGCCTTAAATCCAGTACAGCATGAAAGGTTGAAACATGTAGAAATCGATAGGCATTTTATTAGAGAAAAAGTGGAAGATGGGATCATTTGTTTGACCTTCTTACCAACAAGTCTCCAAGCAGCTGATATGTTGACCAAGGGATTACATAAGCCTGCGATTGACAATTGTATAAGCAAGTTGGATATGATTAATATCTATGATCCAACTTGAGGGAGAGTGTGAAATATAATTAATTAGGAAATATTCTTTTCTAATTAATAGGGATATGATTCTGATTTATAGGGATATGGTTAGACAAGATTATGAGGGTAAATAAGTGATTTGATTTTTTCTGATTATTTCCTTGTACAGTCAGCCTTGTAATCGTGTATATATATCTGCTCAGTGGAATAATAGATCATTCATTCTGGTCAATATACCTACATGTTCACATCATCTTAAATGATTTTCCTTAATAGATGCCAAGCCAACTCTTCCTCTTATATGATTATTACTAATTTTATCATTTCCTATATGCCCACACATCCATCACAACATTCTCATATCTGCAACCCCAACTTTATGCTATTGTTGTTCTTTAAAGTTCAACATTCACTATTATATAATATAGCTACTGTTATGGTAGTTTGATAAAACTTCCTTTTAAGCTTATTAGATACTTTCCGATGACAAATAATTCTTGTAGCCTTTCTCGTTTTGAACTATCTAGCTTATATTCTTTGTACAACATTTTATTAATTTCATTATCATTTTGTATAATTGCTTCCAAATATCTAAACGTTGTCACTTGTGGTATGATCTGATCTCCCATTTTAACCTCCAGATCAGTATTAACTGGCCTCTTATCAAATTTGCAGTGCATATATTCTATCTTACTCCTATTTAGATGGAAACCCTTTGACTCCAAGGTCTTTCTCCACAACTTAAGTTTAGAGTTAATATCTTATGACTTTGCAATGGGAAATATATTATCAGTGAAAAGCATGTATTTGAGGATTTCCTCTTGTATGTGCTTAGTTAGAATATCTTAAATGAGGTCAAACAAGTAAGAATTCAAAGACAATCCCTGGTGAAGGCCAATGCTAAAAAGAAGTCGCATTCAACGTCTCTCGAGTGTTCTCATTCCAATTAATTTAACAAATCATCTTGAATATGTTTTTTTCTCATAGAGTTAGTGCCATAAATAATACTTGGTTTCAAGATTTTCAAAATATTATATGCTAATAAAATGATATTTCATAAAAACAAGTAAAAATTCATTTAATTTCATCTTATAGAATAATATTGTATAAATTATCATGTCTTAGATAATATTTAATATGCAAAATTAAAATATTTTAATTCAATTATAACTTGTTCAACTACAATCCCATCAAATCTTGAACCAATGCCTCAACTGATTTAATAATTAGAGTGGTTTTTATAACAATGGTCAATACTTGATGGAAGCTGCTTTCTATTTGAGAGTTGTTTATGTTTATTTTGTTAAAATAGTTTTATTGTTTCGTCCCATGGTATAGTGATTCAGTGAGGTGCCTTTTTCGTTGGGTCATGAAAACCCAAGGTCATGATAAGCATGTGCTTTTTGATAAAATTTGGTGATAATTTTGGGTTCCTTGCTTTTTGCTTGGAACTAATAGTTTTGTCTTTAGAATAAATGCTGTACTCTGATATTCTCCTCAATTTTATTAAATTTTCCTGGCATCGATATATCTAAGCTCTCTCATTTTTTTTTTTGGCTGTTAAATATTCACCTTGTTTCCTCATGCTTGGCATAAAAACTGTGCAGTGGTTGATTTCATGACCATGAAAGAAAACTTACTAATCTGCATCTATAATTGCCACTTCTATGTTGAGTTCTAATACTGACATGATATTTAGTTTTCCCCCTATTTCTGACACT